TATTAGTTGTTGTTGGGCTATGTCGCCCTGGAACCAGTTAGTTTTTTTTATTCGATTATTCTCATACAAATCAAAGGAGAGAAAGAATAAATACGCGCTACCGTGTGATGAATCCTTTCAAGGAAATTTTCCATTACAAATACGGGTTGAGAAAGAATAGATGGGAATTTTACGAATGTACTTAACTGACCCACTTTCACGTGCTTTGTCGCGCCAAATACTTCTTCCATTCATTCCGTAGTTTTGCAGTGGTTATCCAAGGATTTCGTCAGATTGACATTCCGAATTCTCGTCGAGCGTGATTTTTCTGGAATTTTGGGACTAACATGATAGGATCCTTACCATAGAGAACTACTAGCCTTTCTGGATCAAAAGGGAGTTTGCTTTCTCGCGACTTGGTCTGCTCAAAATGGCAGCGAATTCTGCTGTTAGTCCGTGACGGTCTCATCATTCGTCTTCCCTATCGTTCAGTTATCTGTTTGTCACTTAAACGAAGTCCATCTTCTTTTCATTTATTTTTATAAGGATGCACATATCGAAACAATAAGCAGTACGCGTAACAGTGAGAACATCTCACCGTATACGGAAATATTTATATCGGGCACGGTCAACATTTTTTTCGTCCATCGTGATTCAGTGATTCTTTGATTAGGAACTAGACAGTCAAAGTTATAAGTTTGAGAAATAAACCGGCATCGGTTCAACACAAATCGAGTGAAACGGGTTCTGATCTTATAATCTTCACCACTTTCAAAAATTCTAGTGAGTCTACGAAATATTAGACCCCTCCTTTTTACTTTGACACATGTATGGTAAATTTTGTAGACACTGGAAAAAATGCTTTGCACTCAATGAAGTCAGCGCTAAGTTCGCTTCCTCTTCTAGTTCGCTTGTTTTAATATTGGTGTGAAGGTCGTGCAGGGTATTTTTTTATTTTGGAAATTTAAGCGACAAAAAATTCAACAACTGACATCGTCACCGTCATTAGCATGTCATTTTCCAATTTGGATTATTCCCCAGTGTGGAATATTGGAATTTATAACGTGTCCGATCTCGCAACCCATCTGAATACTTGGGAAAAAACCCCACCATCCGCTAAAGACCAACACTGATAATTCCAGTAGTCATCGAATTACTTAAGCGGGCATCGGTTTCATGTGCAAAATTGCCCACCAGTAGGCTGCTGGAGTACAGTGAGCCCGAACGTTTTTATGTGATGCTGTGTTCTTCCCTTTCTGGAGAGCACAACATTCACAGATATTTTTTCGAGCTTTTCCATAGGAGACGCGGTTCCTTTTTGAAGTGACTTCGAATTGCTCTTTCTGTTTACTTCTCAGCTGTTTTAATGGGCGGTTTTGGCTGAGTTGACATTCAAGATACTGTCAATATTCAGCAAAGTATATCTGTAGTGTGAGTGCAGTACATAATTGCATGTAAACATAAATGTAATTCCTCCTTGTAAGCCGATCAATTCCGTCACACCAGGGACAGAGAATCTACTGAAACCAACCACCTTCGTTTCGGGAAAAAAATAGCACATTGTTAAGAAGTAATTTACCCTTCTTCAGAATTTTACGCTTTTTTAAATAGACATTTATAAGTTAGTGTTCATATTGTATTTAATTTTTAAGCGCCAATTTCGCTGTATGCTTTCATGCTAAAATTTTTTTACTTTGTATTACTTTTTGTTCCTTTCATTACTCAGTAAAAAGTGGAATTCCAGTTGATGTGGGCAGATTTTTTTTTTACGAACTTTAGCTGGGACCTACGTCCCATCGTGGATCCCTCTAGCGATGTGAGAATTTTATTTCACGAAGGAGTCGTTCGCGAATCTGCGTACAGCGTCTATTTCAAAACTTTAATGATGGTGATTGTGAGCACGGAATATTCAAGATGAGGCTAATAAGGGCCGATCAACCCTCTTAGGTAGTGGCCATATGAATACGTTATTCTGAGCAAATTCACGCAGTACAGTTAAAGAGCTTAGGGAAGAAGTGTGAGAAAGAAGCCAAGTCCTCGTTCTAAATGCTACTGCTAAAAGTCGCATTAGTTACACCCATGGAAAAGAGATCATTGTAATTCTACTTTATGCTTAATTCAGATTTTTTCAGATTCCGAAATCTTAAACACTTTCAAGACTGACATTTACTTCTCTGAGTTGGATTAGTCTCTTTAACCGATCTAATTTATTCGATTCCTTTCGTAGTATTGCTCGGCAAGATAGTGAGGTTGCCATTCTAAGTAACTTCATCAATGATAGTGAGGACATTTGACAGCTAAATCGTTGGAGGCTTCTGCTTTCCTCCAGTGTAAAAGTCGTTTTTAACTTGATTTCCGTCCACATTCATGACTGTCCACTTAAAGCTTATGAATTTATTATACATGGTTGCCATTTCTTTAATGAAAGAATAAATAATAATATGGCCCGTGGATAAATAGTGATAATGTGTTAACAGACACAAGTTCCTGTTCAGATCAACTGTTTAGATTGTTTTCTTCTGTTCTCTGGAGCCGTCGTGAGGAATCGATTTCACGTTTCGTTAGTTCGACACATGTAAACGTAAAAAGCCTGAGATATGCCAGTAATTGTAAAATTTATGGGATACTTTGAAAATGTATTAAGTTTATTAAAACTCAAAAAGCGCAGACAACCGGCAGGTCTTGTTTTCTGAAAAAAAGAGCTTAGGTAGTTCTATTTACCACTTGAATAACCAGAACTTTGACTAGTTCCCAATCTTGAATTATTTCATTCGCCTCAAGTTTCTTTCTAGAAATTGTACGCTCGGTCGCTGAACGTCTTTCTTGTGAGGGACCGAAATTATCCTGTTTTTTTTGTCCATCCCAAAAAACGTGGTGTATTTTCCCGTGACCTCACATTCAGTCGGTTTACTATCATCAAGAATGTGCCCAGTCTTCATAGGTGATTTCTCCCAGCAGTGTATAAGGTCTCTGGACGCTAGCTTAAGCACATTTAATACAAAGTCCAATTGATTAATATGAAGCTGGGTTGTCAGAGATACTGTCATGAAGATTAAAAATATTCAGGATAAACAACATTTTGAACTTTCCAGTTTTTGCTTCTGTTGTGCTCAAAGTCATTCGTGCTTCTCCTTCGCGCGTTATTGCGTTAGTTCTCGCAATCAGGGAAGCTATGATGAATCTGGCTCAGCGGAGAAGAAACGCTGCTGAATGGCGGACCTTGTGCTACCGCGACCGCCACTACCGCGTTTAGAGAACAGAATCGTTGATACCCACCCATGTCGAGGGCTAAGACATCTTCCATTAATGATTCTCCATTAGCACTTTTTTTCTGCATTTTTTTCCGATTTTTTATCATAAAAAAGCCGACGATATGTTTGCCTACGTCAAATCTCCAAGATTTGGAGCATTAACATTTTATGTTTTGGTTGTGTCCGAGACTTTTTCCTATTTGCTTTCTTGTGATCGGCAAGTTTCCACTGTTCCAAGTTGAGTGACAATGTTTAGTTCTCAAACTCTAATTTTTTGTTTTGTTTTCATTCATGGCAAAAGCATTCCACATTTCAATATTTTCTGTGCATCTGTCACAGTCTTCCATCCATCTACTTAATGTCTAATATTAATTATGGAAAATGAATGGATCAAAGGTCAGCTTTTGCCTTGGTGTAGTGTTTGCTACTGTCGTAGCCGAACTTCGTTACGTTGAAGTTGTGGCCACTACAATAGAAAAATCGGACATTTCTGTTTTCCTTCATTTTTATATTTCGTTCGATAAATCGCGAAACTTCACAGGCTCTGTCGTTAGTAAATCGAAAATATTACTTAGCCAATTTAGGGGTTGTCTTAACTGTATCACTTAGTCAGAATATTTCAATGCTCCTCTTTTCGTAATTGCCACGAGGGATGTGTACTCATTTGTACCGGAGCAACCTCAGACTTGAGTAATTAAACTTTATCGATTCCTAGAATATGAATACGTGGTACTAACACACCGCGACCAATATACAAAGGTTACATGAGGAATGTCTAACATGAAACGAGAGAAACGAACGATATGCGAAGGTTGTACGGTAGTGAAGTGAACTGAGCGGCTAGGAGAAATTATTAAGGCCTCACGAAGCTTAAGAGGCACCAATCTAATACATTTGATGTTATAATGACGTGCTGCGATAAACTTGTGAGCGAATACAACTGTTTATTTGGATAATGAAGCTACGCTGGTGCTGTGCCGCCTTTCATAAAAGTCTCAAGGGGTGTGCGGGTTCTGTGTCTCCTCTACTCATCGACTTTTACGAGTTCGAATTCCATAGCTGTTTTTGGCCTCGGATTTTTTCGAGGTATTAAACCAGATCGTCTACAAATTTTGACATCTCTTGACTGGTTTTTGAAGTATTGATTTTATTTAAAAAATCATTTATATTAACCTTAATTCTTTCATTCATCGAAAATTTTCACCGAGCACCAGCAAGTTTTCCATTCGTGTACAGGTTGTCCAGTAGGCTACCTGACTTGGGGCGTTTGTGGACAGCCACAGTTTTCATATGGGGATCTTCCTATCATTTCGTACTCGCAGCCCACCAGACCCTGCCGTGGGAGGTGATTTCTACTTTGGAATTCTCAGAGTAGTTTTCTTCTTTATTCGATGGTCAAATTTTATCGTTCTTTGATGAGTGACTGTGATGAAATCTTCTACTGTTTTTGGGCATGATCGAAATTTTTGCAATCATTACATATTATTCGTATGCTGTTGAATGATGTTTATCCAACTATGGAGTTGGTTCGTTGTTCGTGTTTGGCTGCTACGTTATTTTAGCTAGATGAACAAAATCGAGTAAAAGTCTAAAAGACCTGCGACCGAAAAGTCTCATGTTAAACGAGTCACTATCAGTGTAGCATCTCAAAGTAATGGAGCAGATTCTCAGATACTAAGCCTTGTTCACCAGTTTCATTCAGACAAATGCTATGCAACATCTGAGCGACTGACTACTTGTTACTTAAGGAACATACTTCGGACACGTTGTATGTTTGAACAAGCACCTTATTGTACGCCGTATTCTCTTCTGATAGCCACAGAGGGGTAAGTCATATTTGTTTGCGGTATTCACTAATGCATTTGAAGGCATCGGAATCGAAACCACTTTTTCCAATTCTTAGTCATCAAATCGACGAAGAGTGTGTTTAAACTAATAGTTTTATCATTATGTTGTCCTCACTATGGATACAAATACGAAAAATCCATTTTCTACTAGTGGAGCCTCATATTCACTACAAGCAGCGAAGTAGTTAGGTGGTCAAAGACATGGAACCGTGATGAATATGATAACTGCATATACCGGGGTATAGTTGTCCTTCATTAGTGTTGGATTATATGAGAACTCATCTTGATGTTGTATTTTTATTTGTTTTGCATGTATGCATATACACTGTCCTTGATGAGCAATTACTATTGAATTATCAACGCCCAGGCCAAGAGAAAGTTGGTTTTCGGATTTGCTATACATATACTTGTATACTCGAATGACCCGTTTTCACTAGTTGTGAGGGCTCCAGCATGATTTCCGTTTTATTGGAGTTTTGCTGGTCTAGCCATTGTGGCTCTGGAGTCCCGAGGTCAGCCTGGCCAAGAGCTGCCCCAGGTCCTCGCCACCACAGGCAGTCGCCGGTCACTGTGGATAAGAGGGTGATTTGCCACCATACCACTACTTTCATACCAGGTCATTGGTGCTATACGTATACATTTATAAATTTCTGTATATTTAATATTATATACCAACCAAGAGAGAAATATATGGTAAGCACTCTGCAATAATTCAAGAATATGAAAATTTTCTATTTCAAAGCATTTTTGACTATTCATCCATTCATTAACACATTCACCCCTTGTCGCTCTTCCGAAGATATAAGTTATAGCTTAAGCAAGAATCGTTGCCATATTTACTAGCTTCTTAATAGAACGCTTACCTTTTCCTTGTCATCACAGGCTTAGCGCTATAAAGGATAAAGGGTAAAGCTGTCGACGTTGATCAATCCTCGAGGGAGGCGCCACGCATTTGATTTCATTATGTATCGTTGGAGGTGATTGAATGCATATCTGGCCTTTACAATAACTCGCTGGGGCCTACCGATGTATCGAGCCAGTGCTGCTCTCCTCCCAGACAAGTGTGGTACCAATTTGCCGACCCCGGAGAGATGGAAGGCTTGGTGGCTCAAGGGCGCGGAAATCGATTCTACGTGTGTCGTAGTGGCGCCTCCAACCACTGCGCCACACGCGCCCCCTACGCGGCTTAACGCTTTATATAGTAAATAAAACTTCATCATCTTGGCAATGGAGGATAATATAGTAGTGAATGGCTTTTGATCTAACTACTAGAGGATTCTTCCTTAGAATCTCATTTTAACATGTCCTAAGGTTGGTTTCTGAATAACTTGAATATAGTGATTTCAGTTATAACGCTGAGATATTTGCAAAACTCCGGACCGCAGGTGTCTGCGGTGGGGAACGAACGCGCTATTGTCCTTTGCGGGGAGTAACGCGTTCACCACCACACCATGCGGGTCCTTGGTTTCGCCTGCCTCTCAAGTAGTTCTATCGATCTTTTGCCATCAGCAAATCACTGGAAAGGACAATAGCGCGTTCGTTCTCCACCGCAGACACCTGCGGTTCGGAGTTTTGCAAATATCTCGGCATTATAATAGTTATATTTCGCTACTTACTCTGCCATTAAAAAGAATAGGCAGTAAATAAAAGGGTTAAAATAGTGATTTCAGTTCACTGATCAAAACGAAGCCATTTACAAATTATCGTTTCTGAATCCGTTATGCCACTTAATTTAGCGCTAGTTGGACCATCTATGCTCGCCACTCACTCTTGAGTTCTAAACGCATTGTCGAATGACGAGATCCGAGCAAGGCACCTGTATCACCCGATAAAAAACGTTTTACGGAATTGCGAGCAGCAGCCTGGTGCAATTCAACTGCGATTAGCCAGAACGCAGTCTTTCCCACGTCGCTCTGTTTAAATAGAGACGACGTCGTTGCCTTACTCCATCCTCCCATATTCTCTCTTTTCTTCTGTGAGCCACCTTTGGTGCTAAAAGTGCAAAATTCACCTATTCGTCATCTATACTGTTTGAACAGTAAATTCTAATCTGTAATTTATTCTCCCATCAAGCCGTGTATTTTAACACTACACTGAATTTTTCTACTAGTAAAATCTACTGTTAGTTAAAGTAGTGATAGGAAAATATTTGGTTGATTTGTGTTTTAACATCATGCAATTGCTGATGAAATACACTGCTATACCATAAAAATTCCGTAATACATCTTCCACGTCACGTTTTCTTGCCAGCTGGTGGTCTTCTCCGTCAAACAGGATCTTCATTGAAATTTAGGACAGTGGTTTTCCTATCCATTTTAGAGAAGTCTGGGTTTGAGTATCAATGGTTTTTCCTATACACTACACTCTAGGTGCACATATGAATTTTGAGGAGTCAGTACAAGTTTTAACCTCCTAAACCTGCGATGGTTCTATGAAACGTGTACCGACCTTTTCGAGGTGAAAACTTAACACGATAGCCCAAACTATTCGCTTTGCATTAATAATTGATAAATTCCAGTCTAAAATTCCTTTTTAGACGTCTTAAATCTTTACTGGCGCTCTTTTATTTCGTTCCAAGTGAATTTATTGATGAAGTCGAAATCGCTAACAAAGTTGGCTACGTGCAAATTCAGTGCGTACCAATCACGTGCTTCTTTCCCGTTGCTGAGACCACTTTTTAGTTCCGGGTTCCCTCCGAACAAACTCTTTTTCACCTCCTCTAAGAGACCTTCACCTTCGAGACTGCAAATGTTCATTGGAAGTTCACAGGAACTCATTAGATTTCACTTTGATGATTTCGGTGATACAGATATTTTTACGTTGGTACTTCAGTGCTTCAGACATCATATTTCTACCTAATAAGTGTTATCTGAGAGTCATCCTTTTGGGTTCTCAGGGCTTACTCCATAAAATGTCATAAGAGTTAGTAATTTATAATATGTGGCGGATATACGACGATTAGTGTCCATCTCAGTCGAGTTAATGGCGGTTCCAAACGTATTTTCAAAGCGGCTACAAACTAGGAAATCAATGGAGAACAACAAAAATTGCCGACACGGAATATCTAATTTCGATCTGCATTTCCTGATACCGGAAAAAAAGCTAGTGAGAGAAGATTTTCGCTAATAACATTTCCAGTGTATTTTGAATAGGTCTTCAAGGGCACATCGGAAACTCTTGGGTCAAATGCAAACCAAATATCACATGCACGTTTGTGTATACCCTGCCTTCCTTTTCACTTCGAATGGGTGATTTTCCCAATCTGCTCATCAACTTTTATTTATTCCACATTATCCAGATAACATCGCGAATGCGCTGAGGTTGTCAGGAAAAAAAGTTGGCAACGTTGTACGCGGAAATGGTTTGGAGCTTTATAATTTGGCTTTGCCCTCTACAAAAAGTCATTGCAAGCTAAGCCAATATCTGAATAGTGGTTTGTCATCTTTGATAAGATGTACTGTCCTCGAGGAGCACGTTAAGCAATGCTCAGACAGAAGCGTAACCAGACAATTATTATAACTTTGATGAAGGTTTTCGATGTGATAACTACTGACATATTACTTACTCCGGATCATCGGGTACTTTAGGAATACATTAGTTTATAAATCAATTGTTATGTATAACCATTCATGTATTATTGCTTGTGTTTCGAAAAATTCCAGTAATATCGCTTCTTTGTGAAGGGGTGGGCTGAAAAACCTAAAGGTGAAAAGGTTAAAATTAAAAGCTTCGAAATTTCGTAGAGAGTTTGCTAACTTTGGATTGTAACAAGAAATATTTTAAAAGGCTAGGCAGTTCAGTTGGTTTAGTGAATTTTAGGACGTCCATTAAATTAATCCAGGCAGCTGATAGCCATGGTGCAGCAGAATTGTCTGCATGTGATGCCTTCTGGAGCATGACATACTCTACGCGTTATCTCCCAGACTGTTTTACAAAGCGTAACTAATTATCACTTTTAGCTGAGATTTTTTAGGTCCATGATGGACCTCTGCGACGGCGTTTGTATGGTGTGCGGAGATCGATCGGCCGGTAAGCACTACGGTGTGATGGCGTGTTACGGTAAGTCACTTCACCAAGGCACAAATATAGCTTGATTTCGGATAGATCTGTATTCTTCTCACTGGGATTCCCATTCAAACGAACTGATGTAATTAGAAAAGGAAAAACGGAGCTGAATCGAAATGACAGTATCCGATTATTGGTGTACATCGGTTTGATGATTTATTCCTTTCTACTTTAACCCAATGTTTGGGACGAGTTGATTGAGGAATGAAGGAAAGGTTTTTTTTCTTTTGGAACCATCGGGCTTCGACCATAGTCCATATTCTGCAACTTTGTAAAGACAATTCTCAGCAGTGATTTTGGTGTTGTTTGTATACGAAACTTGTCAACCTACATTAGGAAATCTCTTTGTATTTCGCAAACTTCCTTTGTCGTTAAATTTTATTTGGTTACATTTATTACACCTGCGACAAAATCACTATCTTCTCTTTTCAGCAGCGTCATGTCTATCATTTGGTAATAAATATTCTACCATATTTTCTTTCCGCTCCTCATCCACGATGACTCTTTGCAGGTTGCAAGGGCTTCTTTCGCCGGACGATCCGCAGTGGGCAGAACTATTCGTGCCGATTCCAGCGGAAATGCAGCATCGACAAAGGTACGGTAACTGTGGTTGTTCGCAATTGCACGCAGCATTTGTCATTTAGAAAACGCGCTTTTTAGATCAGAGGAATGCGTGCCGTTTCTGTCGTTTTCAACGGTGCTTAAATGTGGGAATGGAGCCAGATGGTATGTCCGTGTCATCATTAAGAGCAAACCTACTTATTCTGCTCGTTTTGGTACTTTCCATAAAAATTACCCCGCTCCGTCTACAGTGTCTGCGGTAAAACCTCTAATATAGGTTGACTCAATTTATTAACTGAAATGCTTATATAGATACAAAATAGATTACACCAGGAAAGTGTGAGTGGTTTGAAATTTTACAGTCCAACACGATATCTTAGGAATTGTTGATCACGTAATTCTCATCGTATAATAAGAGTATCCGTCAGAAAGCGGTGAAAATAGCGAGAAGCAATGGTTGTATGACCCAAGCTCTATTAACAAAAAGGTTGACAAATATACTGCTGGTTATTTCATTTCAAGACGACTTCATAAGTATACTTAGTGCGGAAGTGTTCTCCACCATAATGACGTGATAATCGTTCATAGGACACTGTAAGCCGTACTGTTTGTATTGAGGAAGTGGATACAGCCATGTTTAAAAGAAAAACTGATGGCAGAAGCCCTACGTGGGTGTGAGCTGTCATTTTGAAGCCACCACCTCTGAATTCATAATGAATTTCATGATTAATTGAAATAAGAATCATTAGGTAATAGGATGCAATTTTTCTCTTTATTCTAAAAAGGGAGAATTTTATTTCTGTGGTCTACGAAACATGTTTTTCCACTGTTCTTCTTCAAGTGTCATGAGTGTCGTATATCGGAAACCGAAACGATTGTACTGCAAGGATTTTATAGAACTGTACACTATGATGTACCACATTGAAGTTAGCCACTGCGCCATTTGCTTGGGAAGCCTTAAAAATCCAAACTTCGATCTCATTTTCTGATAACTTTAATTCTGAACAGTTTTAGGATTGAAGACACATTTTGGAAAAGTTGTACCAACCTTTAACAGTTTAAGGTAGAGTCTGCTATTTAGGTCTATGCAGTCGTAAACACTTCAACCACTTAAGTTGTCGAAAACAGTACAGTCCGCTATGTGTTAATGATGAGCGATTTTCAGCCATCAGACCGGACCGTGACGTCATTGGAAAGCAGAAAAATCCACGTCGTAAGAAATTGAGGCGCGAAGACAGCTCACTGCCCTCACCTGGTAGCGACTCGCCGTGAGTACCTTATCGGTTTTATCACTTACTCTGTCTCGACGGAGGCACATTGGGAACTCTGAAACTATTTTTTGCTCATTTTTTCAATAAATTTTTTAATTTTTATTTTCTTACTTATTTAGGCTTATTTATCAAGATTTTTCATTGATAGGCAATAAATTGCATTCTTTTGGAATGTGTCTTGCGTGCATGTAGTAAAGCATTCGCGTTTTCGTGTGAAGCTATCGCTTTGAACATTCTAGAACATGAACTACACCTTCATTTAGTTTGCGTAATTATATACCCACCTCATGAATGCTCAAGAAAATAACAAGGTACAAGTTTACATAAATTTGGTTTTGTTAAAAAGAAGACCAAGGACTGGAAATATTACATTAAACAGGCTGTTTTCTTATGTATGTAATGCTTTCTGTGTAATGGTACAGTATAACGGAATTTCATTTTACGGTTCACACACGGGGAAGTATTCTTTCCTTCAATCTTCCCAATTTATTAGACCTTTTTTGTTCTATAAAAAGACGCACGTGTAGCGCAGTGGTCGGAGGTACCCTGCAGTACACATGGAATCGATTCCCGCTCCCGTGGCTCATCAAGGCTTCCATCCCCTAGGATCGGCAAATTAGTACCAAATTTGTCTGGGAGGAGAGCAGGACTGGCTCGATACGTCGGTGTGCCGCTTCGACTCATTGTGAACGCCAACTATGCATTCAATTACCTTTATCGGTGCTTAATGAAGTCGAATGCATGACATACCACTCAGGGATTGATTAACGTCAAGAGCTCTCCTTTTTTATTATCTTTGTTTTGTGTTATGATATGCTTTCATGACTGGTCAGTGGTGCTGTTTGTGAATCTGTTTTCCTAGTGTGACCCTGCGCTCTTTATGATTAGTGACTAGCATAAAGAGCGCAGGGTCACACTAGCAAAACAGATTCACAAACAGCACCACTGACCAGTCATGAAAGAATATCATAACACCTACGTTCCACATAATACGGAGTTTCGCTATCGATTCTTATGTATTCCATCGCCTGATGCAGAGGAGATGAACATCGTTGCACTCAGCGATCACCTACAAAAGCAAATCTGTTTGATTATTGGGCAAGTGTTTCTGTTGGCTACATCTTTGATTCTTCCGGTTTCTCTCTCGTGCCAGCCTTTATAAAACCGCTGCATCAGCTTACCTTGTTACCTTTCTCTCTGACATTGAAGTGAAAGTCCTCAGTATCGACCTTCTTTGATTTCAGTTGTTATGAACTGTAAAGAAGCCTTTAAAGTTTTTGATTTTAGCCAAGTAGAGGTTAAAATTGTTCTAACACATTCCAGACGGTGTGCGTTGAGTAGAATACACAGATCCAGGGGAATAATTTGACCTTCCAAATTTAAACACATATCTCAAGACCGACTTTCGGTATTGGTTAGTAATTCACTGTATTTCAATTCAAGTAATTCACTTGATGAGCAAACACGAGATTGTTGTTACTGTATTTATTAGTGCGCAGTAGCCGAGTTTCGGCGGTTTTGCTTTCTTCAGAGTCTGGAAAGGTGAAATTGGTTAACAATTTACTTAGCCACACACTTTCATAACCTCAGAACACAAAAGTTAACGCATAAATTCTCATTCACGGAATAAATAGCTTCTTTTAAGCAGCCACCGTTCTATTGTTTGTAAGTCTTCCAATTATTTGGTGGAGATCATGCGCACATTGTCTTACATGCTTGAGGAATATTCCCGACTCAGGGTCACAGATCTAGCCTGAAGTACGACGCTAGGTCACGCGTATTCATAAGGCACTCCTAGTTATGGTTCGTTCTTGGATTTTTAGAATTTGTCCAAAACGCTTCAAGAGTTCTCAGATGCCTCTTGTTCTTAACCGGCTATATAACTGTCTGTTCACTACGCCAAACTACATAATATGCCCTAACGCTAGAGACAATGATTGCGTGAATTCGGGTGCTGTTTATCGGAAGTCTTGTAAAGCGTTCAGTAACTGGCGAAACGAGTAGACCACTGTGTGTCCGCACAAGAAACACCTAGTTCGTAAATTTAATATTAATACAAATTTTCCACTCTCGCGCCGTATCTCAGGTTGACTAGAGCCAGGCATATTCCTCGCCCGAATAGTTGTGCGGCTGGCCTCCACCAAACAATTAGAATGGTTACAAATAAGAAAAAGAGGGTTTAAAAGAAGATATTTTATTTTTAAAATGGAAATTTTTGTCTCAATTTTGTCTGGTGGGGTTATGAAAGAGTTTGACCGAGTAGATTGCGTGTCAATTTGACCTTTCCAGACTCTGAAGAGAGCGAAACGTCCAAAACGTGAGCGATTTTGTATTAAAAAATGCTTTAATGACAAGCTCATGTTTGCTCATCAAGAAAAACAGTGAATTCAATGCAAAAAGATTTGAGATCATGTTGAACTGTATTGCTTGAAACAACGTCTCTTGGAATCTAAGAATCGTTAACAATATAATACAAATTTCTCTCTCTGCCACGACGTAATTTTGATTTTTTATGGGTTGGACAAATAATTTTTATTGTTTTCTAAAACCAAGGCTCAGGGTTAATGCAGAGAAGCCATTGTTCCATTTAATAATCGGATTTGGTCAAGTTCGGTGGTTAGGTTTTTTTAGGTTCTGGAATGAATAATAAGTGTGGAAGATAAATAGTCGGGTGGTCGCTGATGGATTTGAACGGCAGTCTCGATTCTCCTGGCAATTGATAAGAAGACTATATATCTAAGTTGAATTGTTGTGTAGGAAAGTGACGTTGCATCAGTATAGGCATGTTGAGTTTCTTCGTGGATTCTTGAAGGTTAATTTAAGTTGTTGCGCTGAAATATAACGACCATAGAGTTTTTGTGGCAATGTTATTTGCGATTGCCTTATCTTTGTTGTGACGTCGGCTAATTGAGAGTTTTGGCACGCTAAGTATTTCGTCGTTATATTATAAAGAAGATTCGTGAGCTCGAGCAATGATGTCAATTTATTGTGATGAAATCGCGGAAGCACTGGCTGCATGGCGCCGGTTCCGAAGAAGAGTATTATAGGTTAAATTTTTCAAAAGAGATTTGGCGGGAATTGGACTAGTAACTTGTTCCTGTTGGTCGTGTATGCCAGAGGTCTCAAAATATAGCTTGTGGCCGCAACATCCGCCTCTAACCTGTGTAATTAAACGTTTGTACATGTGTTCATATAGACAACAAAAGAATGACGAAGTTAGTAGGCGGAGATAACCAAACGATTAATGGTTAACACATAATAAGAAGGTATAGGTTCAATAAAGAATTGATTACGCAGGATGAGAATATTCTCTATTCCAAATGTCCTCTTAATAGGCTGAAAAATTCAGCTAGCTGCATTGTTGGCACTTTTAATTACCGTTGGTGACTTAGAGGCTTTAAATTTTTCAATCTATCTCCTATTTTTAAACTTTTGGATCCAGAAATCTTAAATTGAGATAAAATTTTTTTACGGAATTTCTGTATACCTCTAGTGCGAGAAAACTAGGTAAAAGAAAACCTCCTCTATAAGTTCGTTAAGTTCCAATCCATTAAGTAGTTGTGCTCGAATTATGGAAGGTTTATGGACAGTTATCGAAGAAACCCCTCTCTAGCGAATATATAAAAGAGCCCTAAGCAGATAGCGAATATCCAGACATGTTTTCCTAAGTAAATGCTTGGTCGGCGTATCTGATAGGACAATAGAGACTACTGATATATATTTGTTCTTGACGGAACTGCCTTATAATCGGATTGGACTTCACTTTGAGTAGACATGCCTTAAATGTGTATCACCGATTCATCGACGTCCAGAAGCAGCACGCTTTGCCACTTTCAAGCATTATTCCTTAGAACATACCTTAAAACATCCACTTAAAGATACTGAGTAGCGTTCCAAGACCTAAATTGCTTTCTGAAATTTTAGCATGGGGAACTGCAGAAGGAACTTTTGAATTTTTATTTCTAATTTGTTTGACAGATCCTGAAATTTTTCAGATTTCACTTTTCTGATCTTTGTTTGTAAAGCTCAAAACTTAATGAGGCAAGACTTATTCGTGTCAAAAATTCGCATGTCGTAAAAGAGAACCATCGTTTCGTCACAGAAAATGTGTTCGATCTAAATTTTTATTTGTACCAGCACTTATTCGCCTTAGCGTAATTTTTGCTATCACGATGTAATTTCTTCGACTTTAGCTCTCCCCATGAAGATGTACTGGTGACGTTTCTTGTGGACGTAGAACTGCAGTCCATGGGCGGTCCTGGTAGTCGCACTTCGTTACCAATCGGCATTCAGCGGATCAAGTCCGATCCTGACATGGACATCAGTTCGTTGTTCAGCAATCGTTTTGCATATGAGGAAGAAGCGTACGAGGTAAGCCTGCCATTGCGTCGATAAAACTTATGCCCCATAATGTGTGGTCCTTGTTGTGCAAGCAATAGAAATCTTGATTAAACAGCCAACTGTAATGTATGTATCTAGAGAGTATTCATTAACAACGGAGGTTTTCTTTCCGATGGAAGGAATTCATTGTCGTCTTCCTCTTGAGGGTTCCTGATAACATGTTTGACTGGGGTTCTGTTCTAAGGATATGTTACAAGAGTCCTTAAGCCTTTGTTGAGCCTTCTATTTAGTTTAGTTTACTTTAAAGACGAGTTCTACAGTGAAATCGAGAATCCTTGGCAATTCAAAAAGATTCCTTAGTTGTGTATAATATTGCAGTTGCTTCTTTTTTCTTGTTACTCTAACGTGGTACGTCATCTGCTGCAGCTAATATGCCGCTGTAAATGTGGTTCTTGGATTCGTAGTGAGTAGTATCCAGTTTCAGATAGGATACACCATGGAGCGAGTAGCATCTGTCGAGCAGTTGGCATCGGCACTTCGACGATATCTGTTCGCTGCTGTGCATTGGATTGAAGCATTGTTTTCGTTAGCGCAAATTGATAACGTTCCAGAAAAGGTGTGTTCAAGCGTCAACTTATGAATACTTACCACAAAAGTGGCTCAGTCAACTGGATGTTTTCATAACTATTTCACTTGAACCAATGGATGTCTAGCCTGTAAATCGCGCCTTCTCTAAGTAATGATGAAAAGTTGTTTAGGATGGTATACTCTCTCGCATGAAAGGGTACCACTGTAGCTCTTTGACGTAAATAATAAAGTATGATTTAGTGTGATAGTGAGCGTTTACTTGAAGAAGGGTTATAAATGTGGAGCTTCTCATTGTTTTCCTGGGGATAAAATTTGCAGTGAAGTAACTTTGGCAGCCATTATTAGTTTTTACTGTATTTAAAAGATGAATGTGATTCATTGTAAATTATGCGACAGAGTTTGGAAATGAATTACAATGGGGCAATTCGTTACATGGTCGCGGAATATTTCGTTTCATTTCGGATTGAATCACTGCAAAATGTTTCGGATTATTGGCTCACATTCTTCATAAGTATAGATTTTTTGATATTTTTTATAGGTGGCAGTGTTAAAGAGCGTGTTCGCCCCTTACACAATCCTCTGTCAAGCAGCACGAACTGCACAGGTGGGTAGACATTGCACAGTATGAAGTAGATCTGTTGTCTTCAGGAAAGTTTTCGATTATATGAGTTAGAGTAAAAATCATTGTGGATCGCTTCGTTGGAAAAGGAGTTCTGAACATTGTTGAGAAAAGTGTCGATATGTGCTATCTCAGTGAGATTTCAGTTTTACTATAGCTATGTGCATCTGCATTGTTTCCTCTTCAAATGGTCTTTCAGCTTTCTGGCGACGTGGACGTGATTTGTCTGTGCAATCGTACTACAATAACCAGGCAGCCACCTCGTCATCTACTCGAGACCAAGTAGGCATCTTAATTACTTGGATGGCCCGTCCTCACTGGTTGTGCGGGCCCCAACATTATCTACACTTTTTCGGAGATTTGCTGGTTTAGCAATTGCGGTTGCGGGGATTTACCACCATGCGACTTTGATACCAAGACGGTGGTGGATCCCGATATTGGTTACTCTTAGCTGAGCTTTCTGATGGAAATGATGGAAATGCCGGACTCCTTCTCAGCTTTGGAGACCATGTCAGGGTGATGAATCCCCCCCACCGCTGTGCATCGCAGACCGAAACCCAGGAGCACCTCTCTACTACCACGAAGAGGCGATACGCGTTGGGACGAAGTGGACATCTATCTTCTCTAAACTACTTTTTCGCTGCTGCATCTACTTTATATTTAATCGGAATATGCTCTACTTGGTTTCATTTTAATCTTCGTTGATTCAATTTCGTCACGTTTAATAACCCATAAAGTTAAAAGGAAAAAAAATAAAACAGATGCCAGTAATAATGCCTCAGAGAAATTCTTTTGTGATAGAGCATCATTGTTGCTTTTTCATAACGACATAAGTCGTCCATTAAAATATCTCTTTTCCATTCTACACGCTCTTATTGTTAATTCAAAGCCATAATTCTTTTGGTTACTTTTCATTTATTACTGTTTCAGTTTACTGGCGAACAATCTTGTGCCGCGCATTCTTGATGATCTGGTAGCTCCAATGCGAAAACTCGCCCTAAGTGACGCTGAGATCGTGGTCCTATCCGCTTTGGTGATCTTGGATCCAGGTATAGCCCGTTTTTTCTTTTCAAGCGTAGTAACTGCTTTACAAATTCACCGTCTTTATGAGGCACAGAATACTGTGGACTCTGGTTATATTCCCACGACCGACTTTCTATTAAGCTCGGCATTGATCAAGTAATTTTTCGTATTCTTGTTGAGCAAACGCGAGGTGTTGTTTTATTCTTTATTCACGAACACGTTGACGTTTCGGCGGATTTCGCCTTCCTCAGAACCTGGAAAGGTCAACTTGACAGCAATCTATTCGGCCAAACACCTCCATAACCAAACAGAGAGAACGCTAAACCAAGATTTCAATGACATTGAACACAAAGTAACTTCTTTGCACAACCACCGCTTTCTATGAGTCTTCCACTGTGTATGTCGCGTGGATGCCAACCGCACAGAATTCACCTCGAAGCGTAATGTGCCACTCCCATCAGAATAACAGGCTTATGTACTACCCAATATCACGCGTGATAATAAGGCATTCTTCCCTGCGGTTTCGGATTTCTGGAATTAATCCAGAACGCCTCGAAAGTTTTGCGCGCTTGCGTTCTTGTTTCCTGTGCGAGGATCGTGACACGAACTTCAAAGTCCTCCCCGTTATGTCTCTGGGTCCTATGCATGCCTAGCGGGCTATTTGGTTTATGTTTGCGGCTAGGTGTTCTTTTATGCGGACACAGAGGGGTCTGCTCGTTTCGCCAATGTATTCGTCTCCGCACGCCTTGCAGGAGATCAGATAAACTATACCCGAGCTCATGCAATCACCGTCTTTACCATTGGGGGAAAAATTATGCAATTTTGCTTTGCACATAGAGGGTCGTATAGGCTGTTACGAGCTAGCTGGCGTCTTAGATTACTCGGTGGCATTTCAATTATCGTTACCGAATTCTCTAGATCGGCCCCTCTTAAACAGCGTTTTATAGCTGCACTTACATCATTCGAGATGAAGGGTAGGATAAACGCGACCTTTTTATAGCTAGAGTTGCCGTTTGGGGGCCTAGAATTTCCCCTACACCTATCCCGAGCTACAGTTTCGTAGCCATTAGAAACGGCTGTTTGCCGTGCCAAATTCCGGGACTCGTCTCTCTGCTGTCTTCCCGTGCACACGTTGGTTGCTGTTCGAAACATGTTTCTTGCAAGCGCCCTTTTCGTGTGAGAGTTGTGAGAGGAGAGGTAATGTACCAAGAGATACTACTTGGCATTCGGTACCACTTCGTAATGTAGTCATTTTCTGACAAGTTAAGTTGGTCGTTTAGGAATGGAAGACAGTTTTCTTTCGGTTTCTCTCGGGTGAACTTGACAAACTCTGCCTGTTCGTTCAACAACTCGAAACATTTGTCCATTTCTTCTTGTGTTAAGCAAAGGACAAAACAGTCATCTATATATCTACAGTAGAGTAACGGCTCGAGATTGGTTACTGGTGCTTCCACCTGAGACATAAACGCAATGGCAAGACTTGGTGTTAGTTGCTGTCCCATTGCCAACCCTCTTATTTGAGCGTAGTACTTTCCGGGCCATCTGAAGATTGAGCAGCTCAAGCATTCTTTTAAGAGTGCAGTCAGCTGCTCTATCTTAAAGCCGTACATGTTTATTTCTTCTTCGTGTTGTATAAGGAGTTCGAATATGGCTTGCATTGCGGAGTCATTCGACACGTTTGTATAAAGGGCGGTAACGTCGAAGGACTCCATCACGTGCGCGCTGTTGGCTACGCAGTATGTAGACGATCCAGAAACGTCTGGGTATTCGTAGCATGAGCTGGAATGTGTTTCAGCAACTGGGTAAATATTAGGGTTAAAAACCACGTTATCCTATCCGTTGGGCCGTCTGCACAGCTAATGATAGGTCTAACCTTAAACAATGATAAATCGCTAGATGCAAGATCATCACTGGATACTAACGTATGAGTTTTTATAAGCAAGTACAAGACGGGACATGTTGGTAAGCCAACTTTTAGTTGAGAGATAACTGATGGTTTTAAACCAGTGGCTACGATCTAATAGCTACGAAACTGTAGCTCGCAATAGGTGTAGGGAAATCCTAGGCCACCAAATGACAAATCTAGCGATAAAAGGTTCCGTTTATCCTACCCTACATCTCAAATGATGTAAGAACAGCTATATAACGTTGCTTAAGAAAGGCGGGTCTGGAGAATTCGGTAAGCGTAGTTGAAATGCCACCGAGCACTCTTAGGCGCCAGCTAGTTCGTTACCGCCTATATGACCGTCTATGTGCAACGCAAAATTGCTTAATTTGTTCCAATGGTAAAGACGGTGAGTGCTTGAGCTCGGGTACAGTTTATCTGATCTCCCTAACAAATAAGCTCCATACCCGCTTTGGGAGAGAATGGAAAGCCACCCGTGAGTATACCCAGCCCTCACGTTCAGAGCCCAGCAGACTATACGTGGGTATCAAAAGTCCTAAACACATTTTAAAAAAACGAGCCTCATTTCCCTGACCCCGAAAGAGCGCCCAATTTCGCTGCGTTGAGCAGGTCGAGTACGGAGAGGCTGCTAAAATCTCAAGGCCAATAGAAGCTGCCTTGATTACAAAGAACTTTGGCGGCGATCTATACCTACAATGAACGTACACCGAGTCCTCGTTAGCAAGACTTGCTAGACTATCCTCGACTTGCTTATGCAAGCAAGAAGGGTAAGGTACGACGTCATACGCCACCCTTTCAACTCCGCCCATGACACCGGAGAAGGACTGTTCCTCGGAACATGCGAGAGTAGAGGAGTCGGCGGCGTCGGCATTTTCGTCAACACGAGTTTGTCTATGAAAATCGATTCATTCGAACAGCTTATAATCCAAATCGGACGTTTACGATTAAAAAGGCGTGGATAAATTCCGGCTTTGACAGTTTTCGTCGTTTACAAGCCGACATCAAACTACGACGAAGAAGAAATCGAAGCGTTCTATATGGACTTGGTGAAGTTCTACAGAGAAGACCATACATTCTTCAAGATGATCATTGGAGATTTTAACGCTAAGATTGGACTGAAAAGAACGTCTGAAGAAGGCCACGTTGGGACCCACGGATTAGAATGGAACGAGTAGGGTTAGCGGCTGTCTGAGTTTATCATGACGACCAAGACCATCCATGGTAACTTGCAACTCGAAAAGCTCTACCTCAACGCTGAACGTGGGAGTCTCCCAGTGGAGAGTACCATAATGAAGTAGACTGCATCATAGTAAACCGAAGGTTTTGCCTAACTGATGTCACTGCTGTTCCAAAATTGTACACGGGATCCGACCGTCATCTTCTTGGTGCAGGATTCTCACAGAATGGAGAAAAAGCCGCCAAATTCAAAAACCGAACTCCCAGAACCACCATAAACTGGGACATATTCAAAATTCATTAGTCGGCTGTTGGGAAGATGCCGTTGTCAATAACATCGGCGAAGAATACGATTGGCTCATTCAACATCTTCACGCTAGGGCTTATAAAACTCAGGGTTCGAAAGTCACCAAGAGACTTCTGTCTCCAGAAACTCTCGAGCTGATGGGCCAGTGTGGAATCGCACGAGCTGCAGGCAATCGTAAACTAACGTCCGAACTTGCAAAACAATGCAGACAGGCGATAAGAAAAGATCTTAGAGAGAGAAGAACAGCAGTAACGGTCGAAGCTGCAGAGACTGGGAAAAGCATTGGCAAAGCACACCGAAGTTTCGCCAGTTAAAGGACCAAGGTGATTGCACTCCGACGCCCAGATGGAGCAGTTTCAACGTACAGAAAGGCGATGGAGAAAATCATTCACGGATACTACTCAAATCTCTCCGATTACCACGTCCACCTTCCGTCATATGAAATTAAGGAGGGTGAATATGTTGTGCCACCGGTTCTCCCTTCCGAAATCCGACATGCTATTATGTCGGTGAATAATCGAACAGCACCAGGTCCGGACAGGATAAGACCAGAACACCTGAGGAGCCTTCCGCCAGTCCTCGCAAACACACTGGTTCGGCTCTTCACACGTTACCTGTCTGAATACAAGGTCCCTACTCAGTGATAGACCAGAATGACCGTGTTATTGTTCAAGAAGGGTGACCTACACGATATCGGCAACTATGGCCCAATCTACTTGCTGTCTGTCGTCTACAAACTTTTCACTCAAGTTTTCCTAAACAGGATTGACAGGACACTGGGTGAAGGAGAGCCACGTGAGCAAGCAGAGTTTCGAAAAGGATTTGGTACGATGGACCACATCCACACTATAACAAGACTCATTGAAGTATCGCGAGAGTACAAGAGACCGCTCTGCCCCACCTTCATTGATTTAAAGAGGGCCTTTGACTCAATTGAAATAGAAGCAGTCATAGAAGCCCTTTATAGTCAAGGAGTCCCTACTCAGTACATAAGGATTCTTCGTGAGGTGTACAAAAATTTCACAACCAAAATGTCACCATTCTACAACGATATTAATATCGACGTCAAAAAAGGAGTTATACAAGGCGATACCATCTCGCCAAAATTATTTACCGCAGCCCTCCAGAACGTCATGCGAACATTGGAATGGGATAATATGGGAGTGAAAATCGATTGTTGGCAATTGCACCACCTTCGCTTTGCTGATGGCATCATCCTTGGACCAGCAAGCATTAGCCAAGCGGAACGAATGCTTGCCGACTTTGGCAAACCTTATGGTAAGATTGGTCTTCGACTAAATCTCACAAAATCGATGTTCATGAGGAACGGATTGGTTTCGTATGCCCCATTCACGCTCAACGGAACGAATATCTCCGAATGCTCCAGTTGTGTCTATCTAGATCGTGAAATCAATATGATGAACGACCTAGCTCGAGAGCTGAGCAGAAGAAAACGAGCGGCTTGGGAGCTTTCAAGAGCATCGAGGATCTAGTGAAGAGAACAAAGAACACCCGAGTCCGTGCCCACCTTTTCGACTCAACAGTACTTCCTGCCCTAACATATGCATCAGAAACCTGGCCACTGCGTAAGCTGGATGAAAAATCACTCAGCGTTATTGAACGCGCAGTCAAAGGGTCGATGCTAGGAGTATTCTTTCTTGTTAAGCTTACACGAGGTTGATAAACATATTTATTTTCGGCTACCGTTTCGACGTCTTCGTCTTCGTCAGAGCTAATGATCCGAGTCGAGTCGATGGTCCACGCTTGTTATTCGTCTCGACGTGGCAGCTTCGCCTTCGTGTCGAGTCAGGTCTTCCTCAGCGAGCCATCTCCTCGAATGAGGCATCTTTACTCACAGATGCTAGAAGTATCCCGTGTCACGCAAGAAAGGGAAAGGATCCAAAGCCATGACTTGCGCCAACGATCAGAAATTAAAGATACCTTTCTCTACGCCAAACAGTCGAAGATAAGGTGGGCCAGGTTAGTGACTGGATTCCTCGGGGTGTCAAACGCACTGCAAGAACGCCAAAGACCCGATGGTCAAATTTCTTCACGAAGAGCCTTGAAGAAATATATGATACTCGACGAGTCCTTAGAGCGAGCAGAACCCACTGGACTGCTCTTACACGCGACAGGGAAAAATGGAAGATTTACTGGCGCCCGCTCGAGTCCCTCGATGATCAACGAGGCTACAGGTGATACAGGTGACAGGTGATCCTTTGAGCATTAATGACCCTTTAGTTGTGTTCACTGAGGTTAATACGATGTTCGGGAAGAGTTTTCCAGTAATAGTAACCGAAAAGAGTTTTTGCGTAAGAGCAATGCCTCCTCCAACCTCTTATTTTTCCCCAACCCGCCACTTTCTGTTACAAAAGCGGTTCTTGCATTTACCCACTGTGACACGAACGGAAAATAATATTTTCTACGAGATAATTTCATTTTGATTTTTTTACTTATGTTTTTTCTTGTAAGATCCAATAATGACAGAACATTGAGAGCTGGCGTTATGGTTTCGGTCTACTACATGTCAGTGAGCTTAATGTAATACTAATGGGAAATTCATTTTAATTTTTGCTAATGTTATTGTTGTTTTTCGCTATATCCTTCCAACGATTTCCTCCTCATCGTTGCTTGGGAGGCGTTCCTGGGTGGTGGGCTACGTTGTAGATGGAGGGGATTCATCGCTCTGGCAGGGTATCCCAAGCTGAGAAGGAGTTCGGCGTTTCTGTCAGGAAGCCTAGCTAAGAGTAAACCAATACCAGGATCCACCATCTTCCTGGTGTCAGACTAGTCGCACGGTGACAAATCTCCCTGTGATCCACAAAGGATGCGACTGCCTGTGGTGATGAAGACCTGGGGTGGACTTTGGCCTGGTTGCCCTCTGGATTCCCGGCAACCGCAATGGCTAAACCAGCAAATCATCGAAAAAGTGGAGATAATGCTGGAGTCCACGCAATGAGTGAGGACGCACCATCCAATTATCTAAGTAAGTTTTCGCCGTATGAATATTCAAGATTGTTTTCACCTGTGAAGGGTCCTCTTTAATAGATTGGTGGCGACGACCAATTTTCTTTTGCTACCGCGTATTTTTCGACAATTAGTATAATTGAGGGAACAGGTAGCACAGTGGTAGTGGTGTCTGTCATCACAAGCATGGTACTAGCTCGATTCTGCTACGAGTCTGCCAAGCCTGTCCTTCCACGGAAGTCGGGAGATTGGTACCGGACTTGTCTGGGAAAAAAATCACTCTCTGCAGTACAACTGGGAACGCTTCAGTCCGGCTCGCTCAGGACTCCAGGAAGAATTGCTCGACCAGCATTCTGCGACATTCAAGATGAAATGAAAATCCTGAAGCGCCAACCGAAGCCACGCGTTAAAGTTGGAAGGTTTTCGTGGACGATGGATGCATGGAAACGAATTAGATGTGAGAAGTGCTTGGATTCCCACAGTAGACGGAAAAATGGGTCATATAAAAAAATCTTGCGCAATCTCTTTGTTATACGAGGCACACGACTTAAGTGTAGAAGAAGAAATACTATTAGTGGTATTCACAATGTTCATTTCTTATTTACTGCCGTTTACAAGTTTTCACGGCAGGGTATTATTTGTGAAACTACAATGATGCTGAGATATTTGCAAAACTCCGGACCGCAGGTGTCTGCGGTGGGGAATGAACGCGCTATTGTCCTTTCCGGGGTGTAACGCGCTCACCACCACACCATGCGAGTCCTTCGTCTCGCCTGTCTCTCGGCTAGGTGTCCGCTTGGTGTGGTGGTGAGCGCGTTACTCCACGGAAAGGACAATAGCGCGTTCGTTCCCCACCTCAGACACCTGCGGTCCGGAGCTTTGCAAATATCTCAGCATCTTCTTAGTTGTATTTCACATGATAACCTGCCATTAAAAATTAAAGTAGGCAGCAAATAAAAGGGTTAAGTTATATTTCCATTAACAAAAGGAAACACTGGATTGCTTCAAGGTTCTTATGAGTCATATATGACTCACGTCGTCGCTATTGTGTTAAACAATGGTACGGCTATAGCATGTGTGCTTACAAACTTTGTAGATTTTCAAAGAATGTTGTAAACTTCATATAGTTGAGATGTATTTTGTAACACAAGGCATACATTTGAAGACTCACCGGGTTTGTCGGAAGCTTCATCGCTAGCCCTCACTCAACTTCGGGACAGAGTGCAGAACGCGCTATTCCAGCTGATCCGTGAGAACTCGTCCGTGATGCACAGTATAACAAGTCGCTTCGGCAACATACTTCTACTGCTGCCACCACTTGCAGTTAGTGCATTGTTTGATTATTGCATGATTAGCATTTCTTGAAAATTTATTAGTGAATTACCAAAGAATTATTAGTTCTGGCTTTGTTTACTTTTTGTTATGATTTCGGTAGGCATCCACATTAAGGTAAAAGCACGGGTTAACGAGTAGATTGTTCGATGTTTTTCTTTAAGGTTTATTTTTAGGGTTATTAGCGCATTTATCTGGGCTATCCTACATTGTTCTTCTTATAGTTAATAATTGGAACTTTTTTTTGAAATTCACGACGAAATGGCAATGACTGACTCAAAATATTTTTTCTTCTTTTATTTAAAATGTCGCTTGAATCGTAAATGAGTTTTGCAGAAGCTGAGTTCACTAGTTGGAGAGAATGTACAATTTGCACGCATGTTTGGTGGTTCACTTGATCCACTCCTCGTAGAACTTTTTGCGGATAACATGTCCGAGGTAAACAACACTTCTCATGTCTTTTCTTTTTCTTATCATTCTGAAGTCAAACGATCAAACGTTTCTTCGATGAAGAACAATTCCGGAGAAAGGGAGGGCACATGACGTCACAAAGATGATATCGAGCACGATATTTTGATTTTTCCTGATGTCCAGTGATTTTTGAAAAGATGTTTTGCTCAGCGGAAATAAGAAATGAATTATCTCAACAGTAATCACAGTTTTGTTCCATGTTATATTTATGGCCAGTGTTATTTCGAACTCAGCCGTTGTTAAACATATTTTCATATTACTTCAGTGATCAAACAAACTGTGGTGCATCATAAGCGCAGTGGTTAGTATTGCAGTCTATTAAAAAGCCAGGTACTGGTTCGATCTCCTTCCTAATGTTTACCCCAATCCATGTTAGAACGCCTGAGCTTGGCTTCCTCCAATATTGGAAAGGGAATCAATTCGACCAGAGTTCTACAACACTCATAAAAAATATGAAATCCTCTAGCAGCAGCAGGTGCAACACGCGGAAATTCTCCGAAGACCATTGTAGATGGTAAGTGCGAGGAAAATGGATCGAACGCAAGAAGTGCTAGGATCTGCACAATAGATGTATCCGATGACGGGTCATGTAAAACAGCAAAAAATGGGAAAATTAGTGCTAGATAGTTCTGCCTGTGACCGAGTGGAGATCAGAAGAGCAACCATTGTCTATTTCAGGTGATTCCGTCTCAGTCTACCAGAGAAAAAATGGATGTCTCGACGCAGACGTACTCTTCTACCTCACCTGCCTTGCCGTCTGACCTCGGAGAAATTCATGATGAAATGCCAGCATGCACGCAGCCAACTCGTCCTGCTCCTGTTCATCCAACAGGTGAGATTTATTCGACACAGCGCAAGAAATAATTTCCTAAATTCCAGCCCCATATTCCAATTTTTGACAGTTCTAACATTGGTTTTTTACCTCATTAACAATGGCTTTTGATAGACAATTCCAGTCAAATACTAGTCAGAAAGCAATTGTCAAGCGAATAGTTGTCATTGGAGCGGACCCATGATACCACAGGTTTTAGTGGAGTGAATTTTCCCTCTTTATTGTGTTTTTGTTGGTTTTCTGATTATTTTCCATAATATTCCAATAGCCCAATTCATAGAAAACAATTTATTGTACCGTTCTAAGGTTACAGTATTACTTTCATCCCTAATTCAAAGTGGAAAATTAATACAGTAAGGAGATTACTAAAGATTCGAATGGAAAGCCTAAAAATGAAAGGGTTAGCATTTTTAACACAACGTAGCAGTCACAAATAATACTAACGCATTCGTGGACAACATCGTTTCTTGCTAGTCGGAGTTCTGCTTGTTCTATCGGTTCTCTGTTCGAAATGGGGACCTCAAAGAGAAAAAACTACTGGATGGATCTAGAAATTGAGAAATCCATCACTATAGGATAGATGGCCTTCACTTTCGCGCGGGGAACAATTTATGGGTTCTAGTTAACAAACTTCACTACGAACTTCGGTGTATTTGTTTAGAGTTGAGAGGATGCATTATTTTCAGTTAAGTATTCATTAAAACGAATGAACATTGTCACAAATGCGTTAATAATGGTTTTTCAGTAAATCCTTCCATGTCATACAATCCCTTCTACTTCTCCGGACAACAATTTCCGTTGTCGCAAGCGGTTAGCTACGCGACAACTCAGAGCTACAGCCATCCATCATTCTTTGACACGACTTCGACACCAGCGCAATTCCGATTCATGTAATCTATTCTGGATGCCAATTGTGGCTTTTATAGAACCAGTTACCTCTCGGAAATCAGCGTGTAATCAAAACCTTAGATCCAGAAGGAATTTGTTTTCTTGACAGTCTATTCAGGATGAGCATAACTCTGCACAATGTTAATTATTGAAAGTAGTTTTTTGCTCCAGTTCCTTGTAGCCAATCTCTAATTGATAGGCAAACAGCTCTTTATGCACTTCAATCGACGCAGTCCTCTCGCACCTAGTCGCACTCATGCTGTCCGTTTTTATTTGTTTTCTCATACTATTGATTTATTCATTTTTGTTAATAGGAAGTATTTATGTTAACTTACTTCGAATTCTATCTCCGCATCCTCATGCCGACATTCCTTGGTTTGTCACTTGCACACCTGCTTCGCATAGAGCAGTATGCATGGTGGTGCTCAATGAATGGTGGAATGTGGTGCGTCTCCTCCTCAGCGTAAGCCCCTCTGGAGAAGAGTGGTATCAAACGGGCAAACCCAGGTTACGTCTATGATTCTATGCCGTTTAAAAGACCGGTTATTTTGTCAACAATTATTCTAATCCATAATCGTCTTCTTCGAGACTGCGCTCATTTTATGTCAGTGGTAAATGAGATGAGCTCATAGTCGTTAATTCGCCACATTGCTAACACATTTCCAAGTGGTTATCGGAAGCATATTAGCAATAGCGACAGCCAACGTCTTCTTCAGACGATGTAGTTCTGTCGTGGAGGGACGTTATTCTCGAAATGGACTCACAATCCCATTGTCTCTTAATATTTTCGCCTTTATATGAACCTTGACTACAACAACCTCTGTCGTACCTCACTCGTATTAGAAATTTCCCCTTACATGACACCGCTGTCCGCAGCAGTTTCACACGGTTTTTCATGTTTTTTTTTTTACCATAAATATATTCTTAACTTCTTTACCTCCCTATTAGCTGGTAATCTGTAATGTCGCTTGTCCGGTTATGATAGGCTTATCGGCAACCTCAGTATCGCGATTTGACAAACCTCCTATTGAAAAGCAGGTCTTGTGTGGGATACATATTCACTAACCTTTATCAGGAAATATTATATATATATATATATAAATAGCACGATGTGTATCACTCATCCCAGCTTCAGTACTCAATCACTGAATAGATACTATAGCGCATAGAATGCCAACAACCATTAGCTTCTTCTTTTGGACAATCATCCACTGCTTCTCTTGTGCTTTTCTACGACATGAAATTAATGCAACACTGCGTATTACAAGAAATTGGTCAGTCTTCTGCTCGTCTAATTCTAGCTTTTGAACTATGTTTCCCATTTTACACATGATTCTTCTCTTTTCTTTGTATACGGATCTTTATTCCAACTTCTGAACGTGTAGTTTATACATGTGCTGATTTAAATTGGTGAATAAATCCGGTTGAAGTTAAGTTGTGAATTAACTGCTGATTACTGAACGAGGCGTCTGATACTATGCATATATATATATATATATATATATATAACAAATAATGAGGGGCGGATAGCATAGTAGTCCGTCATCACGAGCATGGTGCTTGTTCTGTTCTGCTCGGAACCAACTAAGTCTCGTCCCACCGGGGTCGGGAAATTGGTACCGGACTTGTCCGGAAGAAAAATCGCACTCTGCAATCCAACTGGGAGCGCCTCAGCCCGGCTATCTCAGAACTCTACGAAGAATTGCTCGACCAGCATTCTACGATATTGAAGATGAAATGGAAATCCTCAAGCAGCAGCCGAAGCCACACGTAAAGTTGGAAGATCTTTGTGGGCAATGGATGCGAGGAAACGAATCGAACGTGAGAAGTGTTGAGGTCGGCACGATCGTCAAAACGAATCAAATAAAATAAAGCACATATATATATATATATATATATATACGCGTATGTGTCTGAGACCATCGATGAGACTTCTATCCCTTATGAATGCCGATCTTGTCTAACATCCTATATGAACTTTCTGCCTCGTGACTCGTTTTAAACAGTGTCGAAATCTCATTTTGCATTACTTCGAAGCAAACGAGTGGATATTTTTCTCATTTTTATTCTACATAACCCAATATCGAAAACGCATTCCATTGCCGCTTGAATTCGTTTCCTAGCTTCCATGTTCTAAGAAGTACTTTGGACTTCTGCTAGAGTGACGGAATCAAATGCATGAAGCGTTCCTAAAGGATTCGTAAGCGCTAGATTTTCTGTTCCTCATCTTTTCATCACGATGAGATCCGCACATATTCTCTTTGCTTTCAAGGCACATATTTTAAGCACTTAAGGAACGGTTGAGCAAGAAGATATATCTGACCCTCCGTTTGAAAATAATGTGAACAATTTTGAAAGTGTCGTTTTCTTGTTCAGCAATCGCGAGGTTTTTAAACTCTCCAGTAATTTATATATATATATATATATATATATATATATATATATAGATAGATAGATAGATAAAGGATAAAAGTTAAGGTCACGGCTTTGATCAATCCTTGAGTTATGCGCTATGTATTCGACCTCGTTAGGCATCATTTGGAGGCTATTGAATGCATATCTGGCCTTTACAATGAGTCGCCGTAGCCTACCGATGTATCGAGCCAATGCTGATATCTTCCCAGACAAATATGATACTAATTTGCCGACCATAGAGAGATGGGTGCTTGGTGGAAGGATCGATTCCTAATATGTGTTGTGCAGGGAGCCTCCGACCACTACGCTACACTACGACAATTACAGAAGAAAATTGTTTTCCATTTACGGACATAATTTTTTCAGAAAACCATTCAATTACTTAATATCATATTATACCCTATATGGACATTGGACACTTGTTATCTTCAATTTATGTAACGCTGTTATCCGGATATTTTCTTGGCGTGAAGTTTGTGAGGATATTCTAACCAATAATCCAATATATTATTGCGCTAATAGTGTTCAATTGAGACTCCCATTTTTCATTTCTACTTTGCATCAGCTTATAAGTCACCAACAAGAGTGTTCTTCCCATATGAGTAACGATAGGTAGGATTGCGTCGTCGTGTTCATCGGCTGTTTCATTGAAATTAGCCGACAATACCAGGATATGCAGCGATACTTATAACCGTCTTTATTGCGATTCCGTCATAAAGGGTAAAAGAATAAAGATCTTGGCGTTGATCAATACTGAGGGATGCGCCATGCACTTAACTTCATCAAGCACCTTTTGGAGGTCATTGAATGCATATTTGGCCTTTACAATGACTCACGGTGGCCTACCGATGTATCGAGCCAGTGTTGCTATCCTCCCAGACAAGTCTGGTACCAACTTGCCGACCCCAGATGGATGGAGGATTTGGTGGGCCACGGGCACGGGAAATGATTCCACTTGTTTTTTAGGGCGCCTCCAACCACCATATGCAGGGAAGCAATCACAACACATTATTGAATTAAGCGATGAAACGCCGAGAGACATTGTAATCAGTGAATAGCGGAAACCGAGATTTAAGAAAAAATTGGAAGGGCGTTCATGAAGTGTTCGACTGTATGTATCGTTCAGAAATACGTATGCGGTCACATAACTCGACGAAAAATTTGAGGAACGGTAGATCATCAAGGAACACCTAAATAAAATTCCAGCTAGGCAAACATTAGGCACACACTGATAGGGTAACGCCTTCCCAACTAGTCACATTCATTACCTATATCGCTTGTAGTACCGTTGATCGTCGAGTGACTCGAACGGGCGCCAGTAAATCTTCCATTTTTCCCTGTCGCGTCCAAGAGTAGCCCAGTGGGTTATGCTCGCTTTAGGGACTCGTCGAGCATCATATTTTTCTTCTAGGCTTTTCGTGAAGAACTCTGATTATCCAGTCGGTGGTCTTCCTGCAGTGCTTTTAACATACCGAGGAATCTAGTCACTAACGGCTCTTGTCCATCGGTTGTCATTCATATGGACTACGTGTCCGGCGCACCTTATCCTCGACTGTTTGACGTATAGAACGGCATCTCTGATTTTTGATCGTTGACGAAGGTCGGAGCATCGGATCCCTTCCCTTACTTGTGTGACATGGGATACTCATAGCATCGCCCTTTAGACTGCGCGTTCAATAACTCTGAGTAATTTTTCGTCCAGCTTACGCAGTGGCCAGGTTTCTAACGC